AACATGGTATAGATATCATTTCTGACTATTTTCAACAGGACTACTTTAAAGAAAGAAGAGTGTACTCCCCTTCCCCTCCCCCCAAAATAATGTTTTTACCCACCCAGCATGATGCCAAGGAGTCTCACTAACAAAAACGGGCCCTGGCTAAAAGTTGTTGTGAATGCTATGTGCTTCAGGCCACCTCTACATGTGCATGGCAAAGTGCAATTGTGGGATCGCACATTAGAGCCAATCACACCTTACTGCCAGTGTAGGGGAAGCCTGATCTTGGGCTTCCCCGCTGCATCAGTCAGAAGGAGGCTCCCACAGCTGAGAGCCCCCTTTCCGCAATTACCTCCCAGTCTGGGGGCCAGGCACAGCTGGGACTAAGAATCTTGTACTTGACAGGGCTCTTGGTCCTGACTACCTGTGTGGGCCCTGGGGTTTCACGCACCCTTAGGCCCTGGGGACTGCAGCTGCTGCAATCCCCCGGGGCCCAGGGGGTTTGTGCTGGGCATGGTGCTTCCCTGAAGCTGGGAACCCTGTCAGCTCATGGGGCTCCCAGCTGAAAGGGAGACCCTACCATGTGTGCAAATTAAAGTTCTATAGCAACCAGCTATAAAGTTCGTAAACATTTTCGAGGTCTAACTTTATAACTGGTTGGGGCTCTTTATTATGATAGCTATTCTACATATGTAGCTGGTCTTAAGGCAACTGTGCAATTAACCAGTTAATTGTGTGATACCTGTAAGGTGTAGAGGGGGCCTCAGTGCAGCTTTTCAGGAAAAGTTGATATTCCCTCTCACATTTAGTATATGCTTGCCAGAATATTACTGGGAACATTGCAGCTCTTTCACTTTTGTTAAAATACTAATTTTAAGAAGTTTTAAAGGGGTCTCCAAAAAAGTTAACACATCTTTTAAGTGCACAGCTGAACTTACCAGAAGCTGGGTCCTTACTTGCTATGCACTGTGTATTAACAGCAACAAGTAAAAATGAGCAGTTATTTTGATTTCATTTTGCTATAATTTGGGGGGCGGGGAGGAACACCTAAGAATAGTAGTAGAGATACTGAAGCTATCTACAGATGGAGAAAGACAAATCACAATACTGTACAACTTTCATACTTGTCTGGTTATATATAGAATAAGGGTTAAAAATCTCATTTTTTTCTTAAAATTATCTGTGACCTGGGCTCCCTCACTTATCAGTAGAAACACCAGGCACTAGTAATGAGTTGCTGCCTGGATTTTGCAAACCCTAGCAATGAATAAAGGGTGTGGACACATAGGACCGACCTGTTTAAATGACGTTTAAACTGCAAGTGACCAGTGTAGAATGGTTTAAACCTCCTGGAATTTTTCAAAAGTACTTGGATAATTGAGTGTTATTTTGAACTGGTTCCATGTTATGTATGGACACCAAGCCTTCTATAACTAGTAGCTGCCTGGTCCTACAGGCATCTCCACCCTGCATTGCTCATTATCACCTCAATCCCCGCAAAACCTTTCACAGCCACTGGCTGCGTTAGTACACAGCCAGAACTTTACTGCCCCAACCTCTATTGCATTCACTTAACTGAAGTCTATGGTCCCAGGCCCCTGGCTTTTTGCGTCCCAAAGGCTAGGTTCTGCCTATGGTGTCTGTCTTATACTGTAGCTTTAAGAGAACACTTTCCTCAAGGTCTTTCAGTTGCGGACAATGGACCCCCCACTCTGCAATGTCCCAACCTGATTTAAGGCTGGGGGGGGAGGGGTGGGGGAGTGGGCTTCCTAGATGCTTGCTTTTGGGTTTCCAAGAGGCTGTAAGGTTGGTAGGCAAATGGCACCTTTAACTGAAAACATTCATCAGTTGCCAGGGAGGAAGAACTGAGCCACAGTACAGTGGATAATACCAGACAATGGCTGTCAATTCCATGCTCAGTTATAGTTTCATAGTTTCTAGTGTCGGAAGGGACCTGAGCAGATCATCGAGTCTGACCCCCTGCCATGGCAGGAAAGAGTACTGGGGGTCAAATGACCCCAGCAAGGTGTATATCTAGCCTCCTCTTAAAGACCCCCAGGGTAGAAGCCAGCACCACTTCTCTTGGAAGTTGGTTCCAGATCCTAGCTGCCCTGACTGTGAAGTAGCGCCTCCTTATATCTAGCCTAAATCTACCCTCTGCCAGCTTGTGACCGTTATTCCTGGAAGTTAATGTGAAGTGGCCCATTAATTCTTAACTGTTCCTTGCCCTCTTTACTGCACCCCCACCACCTATCCTGCCCCAGATGTGCCAACCTGCACACACATCCCTATGCAACTGCTGCCAATGCACATTAATTGAGCAGCTTTCAAGCAAAACCCCTACCTACCTGAGCATCCCCCTCGACCCTCACCACTCCCCCAAATCATCCTAGGACAATCACAGACTGTTGTTGATTACAGGCTATGGAAGTAAATTGAGCAACTTTGTAGGAAAGTCCCTTTAAAAGCAAGATGCAGAGACCCCAAACATACCCCCAAGGTACCCAGACCCCTATGGAAAACAGAAGCAGGGGTCCAAGTAGTCCCCCCACCAGCATATATGGGCACCTCCAGTTAGGGTATCAGTACGGAGATGTCAGTAAAATGCAGGAATGGTCTTCACTGAACTCAGTGTAAGTGAGAAGGGGAAGCAGAAAATTGCAACTGGGCTGGGTACTCGCCACCACCCTCTGGTGGCAGTTTGCTAGCACAGCAGTGCCTAAAAAATGACTGTTCCACTTAAAGCCACTGGCTGTGTTCAGATGTCACACCTCTGACCCAGGACAACTGTGAACTGGTTCCCAGTCAGTAACATTCTTTGAAGACTTCAATGTTACCTTACATGCATACCCTAGGACTTCTGCAATTTATCAGGAGGTTCAAGCAGTTAAGCCGATATTGTTGCATCACAAATAGCTTGAAGGAATCTCCAAAATGTAAGACTGGTGTCGAGGAAAAAGAAAATATGAAGATGTGCTTACCACATTGCTGTAGATAGTGGGTATATGGTGAAAGAAAAAAAATTATGATCAATCGTGATGAAGCCCAACAATGAAACATGTAGCAGGGACAGTATTCATTTTAAATATTTTATTTATATTTAGATTTTAATATTCCACCACTAATCTACCAGGCCCATGAGCGAAGGAACTGGAAATTTGTATTACATTTTACACAGAGAAATGAAAAGAGCAAAAGGCTAATTTAATATGGACAAACAGGGTTTACAAGGGTAAAGGTCACATGATGCCCTTATATGCATGCCTTATTTTCTCTAATTTACAAATAAGTTTCAAGTGGAAGGAAGAAAAAGTCTTATTGATAACAACAAGGTGCCCAACACAACTCTCTGCGTCTTGGTTCCCAGTTTGTAACATGGGGATAATGGTATCTTCCTACCACAGCGGTGTTGCAAGGGGAAAAAAAATACAGATAGTGAGGTGCTCAGATATCGCAAGAGTGGGGGGCCAGGATAGCAATATTCTATATTATTTGTGAATGATTAACACATTCAAGGCCACTCTAGAGATGAGCAATGGCAGAGTGACCAGAAGTCAGGAAATACCGAAAGGGATTTGAACTAGGTCAAAGTGCATACAGTGACAGAATCAGAAAGCAGATTTCAAGCAGAAAGGATCCTCCAAGACAGGCGTGTCCAAGATCTGCCCTGCAGGGCTCCTAGCGGGGCTGGGAATTCAGGGTGTGGTGCACTGCTCATTGTCCAGTTATGAAGCCCTACAGGAGATCCACATCACTGGCAGGGGGACGAACAACAGCTGTGTTAACCCTTGCACCATCAGATCTGGCCAGTGAAGCACTCTGCATTCCAGATCCAGTTCATGAGAAGACCTGAACTCTGGGTGCAGCCTGGGGGGCCATAAGTAAGTTTGACACTCCTAGTATAAGACAACACATGAAGCTACTTTACAGGAAAATAAAATTATTTTCCAAGCTGCAGTATGTGTCAGAGCATGAAAGTTATAATCATGCAAGTGGTACAAAAAAGGAGATATGAATACTATGCAGCTATTCAGGGTCCTGGAGAAGAGGACAAAGTTTAAATAAGCTACTGAAAGAAATCAGACACCTGTGCATAGATTCAAGGATGGGATAACATGGTACGTGGAGAGAAAGAACACACCATGCCCTAGAAAATTTATTTGAAGAAAGTTGTAGTTTAGAAGTGTTCCCCAAGATACCTTTTATACTGCAACAGTAGAGGCACAGGTTACAAGAGAAAAGGCTGGCTAACTGGTGACAAGCTCAGGGTTCAGTGCTATGGAGCAGATGCAAGAGAGCGGTGGAATATCTAACTGGACTAAATAGAGTGGTGTGCGAGGAATGTTATTTTCTCCTCCCTGCATCATATCCAGACTTACTAGTAGCTTTCTACATATTCAAGAAGTAATGCAAGCTCTCATTCAGCTGGGGGAAAAAGAATGTTAAGCTTCAGATTTGATTTTTTACGATGCTGAAACTGTCCCCCCTCACCCCAGATCTTCATTAGTAACGCACACACATAACACCATGCTACTATTGTGATAATCCTGTTATATGACAGAGCTTTAACTTAATTTATTTTTTAATACATTTGATGACAGTCTGATAAGAACATGTTCCAGTCTTACACTAGGTACCATTTCAGCATTTAACCTCATGTATTCTGAATACAATGAAGCATTAGGTGGAATAATCAAGCCAGAAATTCTAGAACAAGTTTTTATTATTCAGTAGCCTTTATTCGTTGATTGCTTTAGAAAGATCCATGTAGTGAAGTCTGACAGTTACTTAGTGAAGCAAAATATTCAACTGTTTGGACATTTTGCATTAATATCTCCTAATATTTTCAGACATATAATTTAGTTTGCCTTTTTTAGGCTATTCTGGCTCCTACAATATATGGGTAAGTTCTTTACAGCAAAATAAAACGTCCAAAAGAAAGCCTATAAAATAAATCCATGAGTGCAAAGAACACTAGAGTACTCTCTCAGAAAGACTGGATATAAAAATCTTACCTCATCACAATCTCCTTCAACCATGGCATAAATAGCTTTCTTAACCAAGTTTGTACCTGGAATACAGATTTTAAACATTAAAAAAAACAAGCAAAATACATGTATTGTGCAAGAGATTTCAGTTCAAGCAGGCTTATATGCAACTAACACATACCCCATGCTCACCCCCTCAAGATACTACAAAATAGTAATTTTTTACAATACTTAAAAAATGCACTGCAAATCCATTGTCTGCTTTTAAGCTCAAGCATTAAAATTGCCAGTAAAGACATACGGAAATTCATTTTGAGCGTAAGATTGCTTTCTTTAACATTGTAACAGGCTTCTAATGTTTGCTTAATATACCCTCATTTTACGTGACAAAGAATCCCAAGACCAAATGAATTCCTTTTTGTTGCAATTTATGCTTGGAAGCCACTCTTGAGCTTATCTGAAGAAAATCATTTTCTTGCAAGGTAATTTGTCTCAAAGTGGGGGGAGAAGGAGGGAGGGGGCTCAATGCAGAGAGACCATATATTTAAACAGTCTCTCATAACAGTTGCCAACCAACCTAGACACAGAGCAATAAATGTGTGTCGTACAAAGACTGAAGCATGCCGAGGATAAGAAGCTGCATCTTTTGGGTGGCCTCATTCTTTGTGAGAAATTACACCGAGAGCTACTGAGGAAAGTACAGGAAAACACCAATTTGTTCTGTTTTTATTAAAAAAACCCAGATGTAGCCAATACAGTTTGATAGTGCAGAAGCAGACAATCAGAGGGAAAGAGAAGGGAAAAAGCCATCCCCAAATCCATGTTTGTGGGCATGAAGACAACACACACAGCCATTCCTTTGTGCTCCTATGAACTGAAAACTACCTGACCGTGCTCAAAGGGGGTGAGAACTTCTCTGTATCCTCTTTTCCCTGCTCTATAGAAACCCTGTAACAGAAGCAACTGCTGGCTCCAGATTCCTAAATCTGGAAGTGTGTTCAGATTTTACATTATTAAAGTTTTCCAATTTAATTAAAATGTTGGCAAAGTGCAACTGCAGATTGTCTGATCACTTGTGACATCATCTTTTTTTTCTATGAGTGGTGAAGGGGACAAGAGTAGCAGTTCCACCATACTTATTGCATTCCCTCGTATTTTCCCAGCTATAACTCATTTTCTGTTCTCCACAAACAAAACAAGAATTAACAACATGCAAAGTGAGGATCTGACACGTTACAAATTAGTGGCAAAGAACATCCTTGTAAATGTCAGCTTTTAAGGACATTTTACTTAAACAGGTACTTCAATATGATTAATATATTTCAGGATGGCTTATTTAAATGGGCAGATCAACACCTAATTCAGTAAGTGCAGATACCACAGATCAGCAGTTCGCAATCAGTGGCAGAGGTACCACCGGTGTGGTACACAGACAATCTGCCAGGGGTATATGCTTTAACAGATTTATTATAATTACTTTATATGACAAAAATTTGCTGGTGGTACTTAAGGTTGTATCGTTTTAAACTGGTGATGCGCAATCTGTCAGTTTGGGAACTGCGGCCTCATATTGAAAGCAATTCTTGGCATGAAGGCTTATTTTCCAAAATTGGTACCAAATCTGTATGACTAGCAGATACAAAAAATTGGAAGTGTTTTTGTTAAGTAAGCATGCAGTAATTGCCCATGTAAAGGATCTACATGGGATGGTAACGGACTGAGGGGAGCCAGAGAAAATGGAATGGAATGGCTTGCCTAGATAGCATGTAGAAAGGAAGGTAGTGGCAGGGGTGTGCATGCATAAGAATACAAACACTTGCTTTTTCCTGCTATTTAGCAATATAATTTACAGAGGAAATTGAGGTTTGTGGCCACTTTTCTTACTAACCTGATACAATACTTGCAAGATTTTACATCCAGAAATTTAAGAGTGCAGTAACTCCTATCCTAAAAGGCCACACACTAAGTGTTCAGAGATGGTTTCTTGGGAGACCAAAAAAATAAGATTTTTCTTATAGATAATTTGTCTTAAAGAGGAGGGTGGGGAGAGAAAGGGGGGGAGGGTCAATCCAGAGAGACCATGTAGTTAAACAGTCTCTCATAACAGACAAAAAAAATTCAAATAAGCAGGAAAGAAAATGCTGCACTTTTAATGAAAAGAAGAGTGGCATTAGCTAACAGTAGCTATTGCAAGTTGTAAAATACAATTTGTGATGCACTAGGAAACGTAGACACATCAAGTTATATTCAATTAATTCAAGAAAAAGACTGCTTTGCTTGTTTTCCCACAACCTCTTTCACCTCTACATAGAGATAATATGTTTTGCAGCAGCAATCTACTCCAGAATTTACAAGCATCTCAGCAGGGCTATTTCCCTTTTAAAAAGAAAATAAAATAGCTTACCAATGCCTTTTCTTCTGTATTTGGAATCCACTGCTAACATGGCTATATAACCTCTGCGAAACATCTTTTTGTGCATATCCAACTTGCAGACAATGGCACCTACACACTCTTCACCTACCATGGCCTTAAAAACAAACAAATATCTGTGTATATTTTCAGCATGTGATATACAATGGGAGCAAAACCAGCAAATATTTGTTTGCATTTTAAATGAGACTTGCATATACAAAAGTAACAATTATTTGTTTGCATTATGAAACTGTATATAGAATTCCAGCAAACCTCATATCCAAAATACAGATAAGAAACTAACACGATTTTTAAAACAATGTAACACAACCTAATATAATTCTAGTAATTTTTTCTGGTCCACGTCCTTGAGTCATTTCTGACAGCGTTTCAACCTGTTTTTTATACGCACAAATCCATTCATATGAAGTACTTATTTCTGCAGGGTTTTTTTTAAACTTAAGTTAAAAATTAAGTCAAGGCAGCCTCATTTGTAAAGATAAGAATATAAGAAATAATTTAACTTATTTTTGTAGACAACTTCCATTTCACCTTATGAAAGTCATCATGGATGATACGTAGCTTAAAATCTTAGTGCACCTTTAACTTCAAGACCATGATGGCTAGGGACAGAAGTTACCAGTATAAACCAGTATAAGTGATCCAAAACCAGTTCAAATCCGTAACTCAACAGAAGTTCAGCGCATATAAACCACTTTCAAAAT